GTTTAGGCAGAGCGAAACCTGATATCATCATTTAGTATAAGATACGATCATGAGCTATAATCATAATACACTGCATAAAAAGCTAGGAGCAGGAGTTTAGAGTTCAAGGGTTTTGGGTTTTCCGGTTTGAGGTTGTCGCCTTCGAACGTATGTGACGGAATTGCCATCTCCGATGGTTCAAGCCCCAGCCTAAACTGCACACATTCAGATCTACTGCCGACCTGAAAGACCCCATAGTCAAAGCCAGCACCCCGGAAACAAGACATAGCTTGGACTTGGACACAAACTCCAGTCCCTAACCCAAAACTGGGCATTAGACACTGTTTCCCAAAACTCATGCTTGCTAGGTTTGAGCCTAGCCGAAGCGGCCAAATTTCCCGGGCCCTGCACATCTAAGCAACCCTATGAGCTCCCGGTTCAAGGTAAGTTTTTTTTTTTTTAATGGGCCCTTTTCCAACTGCAGATACAGTACGTGACTGCTTAGGGTTGGGTTTAGGGTTTGGCATGTTTTGACACCTCTTTTCCGCCTGCATACTCCATGTAGCCGGAACGCCTTACAGGCTGAAGGGTTCAGGGTTTAGCGTTTAGGGTTGAGGGCGCGGTCCTTCCATATGTTATAAAACCATGGCACAATGTCTGGCAACCCATTGCAAGAGTAGCCGGGCTTCAACGAGTGAGGCCATGTGCTAGAACGCTATTTCTGTTTATCTATCCATCCATTTATCTACCTACCTACCGATACAGCCATATAAGTACATGCATATATACAAAAAATCTGTATATATATATATATATAGAGACAGATAGAAACGCACACACACACACATACATACACACCTACCTACCTACCTACCTCCCTGCCTGCCTGCCTGCCTGCCTGCCTGCCTGCCTGCCTGCCTGCCTCCATACATACATACATACATACATACATACATACATACATACATACATACGTACGTATATACGTACATACATACATACATACATACATACATACATACATACATACATATATCTATACATACATTTATCATCTATGAAGCCCTGTACAGCCCCTACCACAACATCATTACAACCCCTCTAAATCCCTACCCCGTCGCAACTTTCAGTAGCTAAGTGATGTTTCAAAACGAAAACTCACACAATCCCTGCTAAACGCTCATCTCGCAATCATTAAAACCCCCAACGAGAACGCTCTAGAAGCCAAATTGTTATATCTCTCCCCAGAAATCTGGTGATCACTTGCAAATCCCTAAACCCTACACCCTAAACGCTTAGCCCTGGTTTCCCTCCAACTCACCCTAAACCCAAAACCAAGGGCCCTGCGAGAATGGGTTCCAGGGCAAGGGCGCATCCTCGGACATGGCTGCCAGGGCCTCAGTCGGTTTAAGGGGTTTAGGGGTTTAGGGGTATAGGGTTTAGGGTTTAGGGGTTTAGGGTTTAGGATGTTGCTCAGGGTTTCGGGCTTCGGGCTTTTAAGGTTTGGCGTTTGGGGTTTAAGGTTCCGGATTTAGCGCTTTGAGGGTGAGGTTTCAGGCTTTAGGGACAAAGAGTTACAGTTTAGGGTTTAAGGAGGTTAGTGTTTAGGGTTTAGGGGATGGTTTAAGTCTCTTACACAACAGATCTCAGCAGCCCACAAGAGTCCACAATCCATACATGCTAAGTTGGGATTTCTTGGGGACGTCTTTGGCCACCTAAACCCTAAACCCTAAAACCCTAAACCTAAACTTCTGGGTCTAGGGAATGCAGAGACAGCATGGAGCATCGCCAGACATTCGCCTTGGTTACACGCAGCTCTACACCACGAGTTCAAGGCTTAGGGTTTAGAGTTTGAAGAACACTTCACTGCATATCCTTAGCCCTACACCCTAAACCCATCCATCACCCGAAGGTTGAGGTCCGCGCCGCTTCTCTGAAAGTGGGCAGCTTTCCGTACCTGGCCAGCGTTCACTGGTCACGCTTGAAGTTTAAAGTTTTTGGGGGGCTTGGGGTACCTTTCCGGCAGACTCCGAACAAGGGATCTACGGGACTTCAATGTATGCTCCGGAAAGCTGCAAATCCGAGGCATTCACCCAGCGTAGAGCATGTTGTCAATGAGAACGTCCATGCTGCCTTGTCCGGAAATGGCAAATACATCCGGGTACGACGCGTCGACAGGTTTGGTAGAAGTCAGACAGTTTATACTGAGAAGTATCGCGGTGGACTGCTGGCTTAGATTTGCAGCTTGCTTCCCGAGTTCCCTAAGACCCATCAATGACACGATGCCAGACTTATTGTTGGCACTGCCCTGCAGATGCTACTCACTGCGGCCAGCCGGTCACTTACACTCACAGTGCATCTACCTTTGAGAGTTTAGGGTTTAGAGCTTTAGGGCTTTGGGTTGATGTGTTGTTTTGTCCGTGTCTCTGTTGGATAGCTAAGTTAAGGCTAAGAAGAACCTAATGACCCCTAAACCTTAAACGAACCTACTTCCAGGGAATAAAAACCTACTTCCAGGGGAGAAAAGGTAGTGCAGCAAGGCGACTCGATGGCACGCCGTCGCGCAAGGCACGGGCGACTTGGTAGCGCTTGTACCTAAAAGCAGAGATCGGCATCGTCTTCCAAACCCTAAACCCCTATTTTTGAGCACGGGCTAAACCCTAAACCCTAAACCCCTGAACACCCATCGTGTTCCCTAAAGAAAAAAAGATATCTTCATGTAGCTCAGCTCCTGGGCCTCTTGAAACCTCAGGATTAGGATGCTGAAAGTAAGCAACTGCTTCATACTGTTTCTGATATAATAAACCCTGCATTACCTTAAGCACCCTAAACTATGGGAATGATGGTCTATTCCTTATTTTATGTAATGCCAGATTCATATCATCAACCATAACCCACCTTGCTCTGAGAGCCTCAATCCTGTGATCGCCGTGCATCCTGCTTCAGGACGGCGGGGGGAGGAATCCAGGATCGGAAAACATGGCGGCCGAACTCTCACATCTATGTGCTACACTTTGGGGCCCAACAATGCTTTAGTAGGCTTACCGTGCGAAACCTAGCACTTATAAAGCCGTATACAGATCCCCTGCAAAATCCCTAAATAAATCTCCAGAGATCCCTTAAAAAGCCCTGCAGATCCTTCTGGAGGCCCTTCAACACTTACATCCTGCAATGCCATTGGATGAAAGATCCGCTTGAGACGGTGTTGGTTTCGGGCTTGGGGTTTTTCAGCCTAGGGTTCCGAGATTCTTATGGGGGCCCTCATAGACTAGACTCTTGGGGTATGCGGAAGTCAGAAGCGAAAAAGCTTCGGATGGCTTGTGCATCACACAAAAGTTCACTTAGTGTAGCAAGTCCAAAATCAGAAACCTCAAGGGAGAGTAGGTGGTATTTATTTCTTCCCTCTCGCATGGCTAAGGATCAATGCCCACAAGCGAGGTGGTTCAGGGACAACAAACAGGAAACTGTACCCTAGATGCGATGTAGGTCCGTCTGTGAAGACGCCTAGCCCTAAATTAGAGCCCATACCAGCAACACAGACGCATAGACCTCTACCGCATACAACTCCGTCACTTCAGTCACCAACCTAATACGACAATACAACCACTACTCCTGAAAACTACCGCGTGGTATTTATTAGGGTTTATAGGGTTTAGGCTTCTAGGCTTCTGTGTGAATCCATTGGTTTCGGGTCGAGGAACCCAGAGGGGCCGACACTTTGAGCACGCAGTCTTAGCACGTAGCTTCACCCATGAAAGCTTCGGGGGACAGGATCAAGTCTTCAAAAGCTAAACCATAGCGAAACCATGGAGCTAAGCAGCAAACTGAACTCTAAGCCCTTAAACCCTAAACCATAATCCCCTAAACCCTAACCCCTAAACCCTACCATAGGCCCCTAAGTAGTTCCTTTTTATGGTTTATATTTAGAATCCTAGAAGGTAACCCCAAAAGAAAACTAATTGGGGGCCTATGGGTAAACCGTAAACCATGAGAAGAGCGCACCCGATGGCTTGAGCATCGCGGTAGAGCTTCCGCCTCTCCTGGCAACTCTTTAAGAACTTTAGGGTTTAGGGTTTAGAGATGCTCGGCTACCTTTGTTGGAGAAGTTTGTAGATTCTTGCGGTGTGCGGCTCAAACTCCTCCCATGCAGATTCAAGAATTTGACAGATTTGGAAATTATGTTGCGCTGCAACGCATTAAGGTCTAGGACTTTAGGTGCTTAGGGTTCTGTGGCATGCTGTCAGGAAAAAACTGAAACAGGAGCGCAGAACCTGCACAATCGTGGGTTCAAGGCTTTCAGAGTTTTTGGGGGCCCTTCTTGCAGCTGGGATCTGAGGTTTAATCTCAAACCCTAAACCTTAAACCTCCGAGTGTGAGCGCCACAAGTCCTCAACCTCAGGGGTTGTTTAACCCTGTTTTGGAGTTCTAGATGCCAGGTTCAATAACCCCCTCAAGAATCAGAGCACCCTTTATGCTTAGAGGAGACAACATCAAAAAGGTATGCTGGTACACCCGGACGACTTAGGATGGTGTTGCCGTGGAAGTATCATAAGATTGTGGTGTATCGGGTAGAGAGGTAGAACGTTTTGAGTTTTTGGGCTTGTCGGGCTGATGATTCTTGGCATGGTGCTTGTCTCAGGATGCTAGTCTTGGCTGCCAATCTGTGAACATGATGATTGACGCGTCTGTGCAACATGGAAAAAACAAAGAGCGATGATGCTCATGATGCTGGCCGTGGCTGGACAAATCACCCAACCTGGGCTACAGGGCTCTTTGCACTCGGCTGGCCGTTTTCATGCACACCAACGCCGCTTCAGTTTGATTAATCAGTAGTGTAACATGCGCCCTTAAACCCAGCACGGAACAGTACAGCGAGCTTTTTCTCTTCAAGGTCTCGCAACATCAAGCCCAAGTTTGGGGTGCGAGCCTCAGCACAGGCCCTAAGACGAAGTTGGAGCCCTTCTGGGCATTCGCCGTCGGGCTATGTATGGTTTTGGGTTCAGGGACTCAAACCACAAGCATCATTTCGAGGGGGCGTGTGGACATCGATCGCGAACGATCCGCTGCATCTTGTACGTCCCCAGGAAGCCGCAGAGAGTCACCAGAAGCTGAAGGGAACCATAAGCATTGCGTCCAAGAGAATCAATGATGCCGCGTGCCATGGGGGCACCAACAACTCGACCAAGTTGCATGGCCATCATCTTCCACTGCCTGAGTCCACTCCAAAACAGACAATGAAAACTAGTCGCCCAAAAGGGTCCAGCACGTGCGCCGTTTCTTACCATCAGTTTGCCGCGACTTCTCCCGTCTACAAGTTCTTGCTGTCAAAATATCCATGGTCTCTCTGTGTTGTGGCCAGCAAGGGTTCGGTATGTCTTCAGGGATGTAAAGCTCAATGTAAAGCTTACAGGGGAGGTTAGGTCCCGATACGTGGCTTCACAGATTCGATGCTCAGCGGTGGCCAGGATCTGTCTGCGTTGTAGCCAGCAGCCCTCTGCCGCATGTGGCGGCTGCTACAAAATTAGGGGACCATATTTCATGATATTCTATGCTATGGCTATATAATATATCATGTACTATATTATATTGAGATCCATATTCGGTAATGTTGAGCTCGGTTATCAGGAATCTACAAGTAAACACCCGATTGGCAAGAGTACTAGCCTGTCAGGCAGCCCCGTTGGTGCGAAAACTCCCCCGATTAATCCTATCCTATATAGTTTTAAGCCCCCTATTGAAACAGCTACCACTTGCCACGTCCCCTAAGCATCCAAGCAATGAGCGAGGTCCTGCGGCGATTCAGAGCAAGCAGACTGTAAGGGAATCGGCAAGAACATGGGCTTAGAAGTGGATAACCCAACTTGAAGATTTCAAATTTTTGTTATGCCCCATGAGCCTTAAGCAAGCCTTGGCAGGTAATGAACATAATGTGAAAGATAGGCTCGCAGAAGTAGTCTATATGCTTGGGTGTAGGTGGGGTATCAGCAGGCCCTTGAACTTGGGCTTTTTGGTTTCTGGCTTGCAGCTTAGGATTCGGGTTGATGTGGCCTCAGCGTTCAAATTTCCGGACGGAGCGTACTGAGCTTTGCAAGTGCTTGGTCGTCTTGCTCGTAGTGGTCGTCGTGTCGGTGCTGCGGGTTGTGGGCGCCATGGCTGTCATGGTCGTCGCGGTGCTCTTTCGCTTTTCACTCTTTGAGGATCTACGTTGGAATGATTACTAGACACACACACACATATAAATATCTATACATATATGTGTATACATATATATATATAGAATATACAGAGAGAGAAGCATACATGCACATACATGTACGTATACATTTCTATTTAATCCTGTTCATGCGTGACAAGATGCATGAACCTGCCCTTGGTATAGACACTGTCGTTGCTGGTTGCCAGTGTTCCCAGACCATCCGCGATACCATTAGCCGTATTACAAAATGTGAACATCACGGTGTCGGTAACAAAGATAACCCACCACGGCCACCAGGAGAATATGCCGAAAGACATGAACACACTGAGAAATGTTCCAGCTACCATGAAAGATGCGCGTCCGTTAACATCGGACGCCGAACACCATGCAACGACGGCATTGAGGCAGAATGCGCCAATCGAAATCAAACCGAAAATCCATCCAGTTGTGACGATTGTGATGCCGTACTGGCTCTGAGAAATCAATGAAGTTCCACTCTCAATCGCTGTGATGGTGAACGACCTTTCGAAGCTGTACGCGACAGCGAGCAAAATGAGCTGGCGTCGCTGAGTGACCTCCATGCCATCCAAGCTGTTGCTTGCTGTTTCAGCACTGCTGCTTTCGATCGCCATTTCCCCATCATGGCCTGATGGACGGTTTCGGGGAACCACCAGCACCATGAGAAGCCATACAAGCAACACAGCCCCCGTCTGGAACATGATTGGAGATGCCGCGCAGAGCCAGGGGCCTAGCTCTTCGACCTTCGCACCTAGCTTCTGCTGGAAGACGATCAGCGAGATCGATGACATCGTCACCCCAAAGAACAAGCCCAGGTTTCTGGCAGCTTGACTCGCAGCTTGTAGATTTAAGACCTCGTTTTTGGGCGTCAGTTCAAGCGCCAACCAACTTGCCACCAGCTGTGCCGTGCTCCCGAAATATCCTGACAGGAACCGTAGAGCAAGCAGACTGTTCCAAAGCAGCCTTGGCGAATCCCGAAGAGGTGAACATACCGCCAGCACGAAGCCCAAAAGCGAGAGAGCACTGAGGAATAAGCTCAGAGACACATACCGGCGCGTCGCAGCGAAGTCGGCGCCCGTCTGCACTTTCTCCGGGAGAATATACTGAAGAGTGAGGTTGGCTACCAGCCCTCCAACCTGCACTGAACTGACCATGAAGCCGGTAGAGGCGGCGCCATAGCCTAGAGCAGAGCCCAGAGGGATCGACACGGTAAGAATCGCCGTGGCGGTAACTGAGACCAGAAATCCACTGGCCACGAAGACGGCTTGCGATGCCCTGATGGCTATTTTGCCTGACTGTGGCAGACAAGACACCCCAACGATCTGGCCAAAGTCGAGCAGGCCGACAAGGAGAGCAAAGCCCAATGCCAGGATCGAAAACTCCACGGCGACAAGATCGAAGTGCCCGTACTTCCCAGCTAAAATCGTGGCCAAACGACTTACATGTTCATTGATGCTCAGAACAACCCACCGCCACCATGACTGTGGAGCTTCCAAGCTCCCATATCTGGCAGACACATCCACCTGAAGCAGTGCGCAAGACTCCCGCGACAATGTTGCTGTAAAGATATCAGCAAAGCGTGGCGCTAGAGCCATGCTGCCTACGCGATATGGACCGGAAAGGCATAAGGAGTTTCAGCCCTTCCCTTGAGCCAAGGCGTAGCACAGAGGACCGGATTCACAGCCAGGCCTCACTAAACTCAGAAGCCCGCAGTGTCAGGGCATGTCCTTCAGAAGCAGAGTTGCAGCTTGGTGAATCCATGAGCTGGCGAATACTTCTCTCAAACAGTTGACAAATTCCTCTACCCCATTGATATAATCCATTAAACTTGCTGAACAGATAATCAAGCCCTGAACAAGCGATCGATGATGCTCATGATGCTGGTCCTGGCTGGCCACATATACTCATGATCATGCTCGCATCAGCTGTGCAACACTGAGAAGCACACCGTCGATGATGCTCACGATGCTGGCCGTGGCTGGCCAAGGCGAAAACCGCCAAAGCAAGCGGTCGATGATTGGCACGATGCTGGTCGTGACTGGCCAAGTATGCCCAGGCTATTTTCCGCGGCTGTGCGACATTGACAAAGTAAGCGGCCGATCATGCTCATGATGCTGGCCACGGCTGGCCGCCATGCTCATGATGTCTACTGTGGTTGCGCAAACAAAGTGGACAATGATGCTCATGGTGATGGTCTTGATTGGGTACATGTGTTCATTATGTTGCAATGCAATGTGAGGGCAAATCGTCGATGATGCTCGTGATGCCAGCTCCGGCTGGCCGCGAATGATGAAGATGCTTGCCACAGCTGGGGATGATGCTCATGCTGCAGGTTGGCCCTGTCCGGGCGCTGCTGCCCGTGTTGCTGGTCCTGTCTGGCTGAGGATGCTGAGGATGCTTGCCTTGACTGCGCGAGCACCCATGATGCTCATGATGCTTGGGATGGTGACCGGTACTGAAGATATCTCGGAGCTGTAACTCCAACTTCTGGTTGAAATCGAACCTCAAAACCAAATGTCATGCCGATGCTGCGAATACCAATACTGAATAATAACAATAAAAATAGCATTACTAAAGTTACTAAAGCCCTTCGTACCTTCATGTCGCAAGGTCAGCCGGAGCCCCATGAAGCCTCGCCTCCTGCAAAAAGGTCGGGAGATGCTCGTCCTCTTCGCCGCCCTTTTTGGGCCTCGGGCTGACAAGGCTTCAGAAAATCGGTATCACCAGAAACAGAAGAATCTTTACCAATCACGAAGGTGGTTTGGTGGTGGTAGTGGTGGTGGCGGTGGTAGTGGTAGTGGTCGTGGTAGTAGTCGTGGTAGTGGCAGCGGCAGTGGCAGTAGGAGTAGTAGTAGTTGTAGGAAGAGGAGCAGTAGAAATAGTAGTAGTCGTCGTCGTCGTAGTAGTAGTAGTACTACTACTACGCCTGCTGCTGCTACTGCTGCTGCTGCTACTCTTTTACTACTACTACTACTACTACTACTACTACTACCACCTCTACTACCTCTACTACCTCTAC